GGAGTCACAGACTGAAGCAGGCTCCAGGCTCTGAGCTGGCAGTCAGCACAGAGCCCGACGCGGGGCTCGAACCCACGAACCGCGAGATCATGACCTAAGCGAAAGTCGGCCGCTTAACCGACTAAGCCACCCAGGTGCCCCAACTGATGATTTTCTATATATGTTACATTACAAGTTCATAGGCACAGCTTGAGCAAGATTTAAAGTCATCTCGAGCTATATAATCACCAAACTCCAAAAGCACTCGCAAAATTAAGCAAACAACGCCAGCATTTACAGTATTCGGGAAAGGAAACATATTGCTGACAGAAGCCATAAGACTAGTTAAAAATACATGTTTTATATTAAGTAGTGGTAAAACGAAAGGAGAATTCTACCAAAGACTCCCACCCCAATAAAGACCCACCCACCCCCATAGATTCCTGGGAAGGCACAGCAGAGCTGCCTCAGAATAAATAGCAGCGCATAACTTCAAGAGTCCACCCTCTCCAGGACAGTCTACTTGCAAAGAAGCACCTACTCATCCTTCAAATCTTGGCTTAAACCATTCCTTGGGGAATCCTTTGAAGGACCCTTACCGCTTCTAGCCTGGCAACTAGATCAGGTGCTCTGAATAAGCCTGCAGCCCTCTGCTTTTTCTTCAGAGCTATACCAGTTTGCCTTAACACTGTGGGTTATTGTTTTTTTTTTAAGTTTATTTATTTGGGAGGGGGAAGGGCAGAAAGAGAGGAGGGGGAGGGGGAGGAGGGGGGGGGAGAGAGAGAGAGAGAGAGAGAGAGAGAGAGAGAGAGAGAGAGAGAGAAACCCAAGCATGCTCCAGGCTATCAGTGCAGATAGCCTCTCTCTAACCATGAGATCATGACCTGAGCCAAAATCAAGAGTCAGACACTTAACCAACTGAGCCACACAGGCACCCTTCTGTGGTTTTATTTTAATTAATGCCTACCTTCCCCTCTAGGCCATAAGCTCCCTGGGGCCAGGGATTACGATTACATCCATTTTGCTCACTCTGCTACCCCAGTGCCTAGCACAAGAATTCAAGTAAATGCTGAGTGAGAGGTCCAGTTCCTCAGCAACTGGATATTAAGGCTTAAAAGAAAGTACGGAGGTCTGAGTTAGAAGTAAAACAATGAGGGGTGCCTGGGTGGCTCAGTCGGTTAAGCATCGACTTCAGCTCAGGTCTTGATCTCACAGCTCGTGAGTTCAAGCCCCACATTGGACTCTGTGCTGACAGCTCAGAGCCTGGGGGCCTGCTTCGGATTCTATGTCTACCTCTCTTTCTGCTCCTCCCCTGTTCATGCTCTCTCTCTCTGTCTCAAAAATAAACATTAAAAAAAAAAAAAGTAAAATGATGAGTCAGCAACATCAAGGCAGTTTAAGTTTTCCGGTGAGAATGCACAAAACGGGAAGGATCAAGTGCTGAGGACATATCCTGAAAACCACTACATTTAAGAGCCAAGCCCAAAAAAGGAAGCCCAAATAGATCAGAAAGAACAACCAGAGAGGTAGGAGACACAAGTAGCCAACAAATGCAGCAACGGGAGAGATGATCAATGTTTAGATTTGTTGTTGGAGTGGAAGAGACTTCAGCAAGTTGACGTGATAGAAGTGAGTCATTTCCTGGGAGAAAGGAGCCAGGAGAGAAGGGGAGGCCTAACGTGGAGTTTCCATGGTATCCTCACCTGGCTCTGAGGCCACCACTGAGTGGCAACCTCTGGAGCAGTCAGAAGCCACACAGCGAGTGTCCCCTGCCAGACTTCTACTTCTCTCACTCTGCCACAAAGCCCAAGGGAAAGTTCTGGGCTTTGCTTTCTGTGGACAGGCTGACTTGACCTCCTGCAGATTGGTTCAAAGACCAAAGGTATTTCATGCAGTCACAACTGACCCCAGGAATGCTAGAGAGGCCAGAGTTTACTTTCCCTGACCCTAGAGGGGGCTAGGAGTGGCCAGCAGATCACACACAGCCTTGGCTTACAGAGCCCCATGCAGCCGCTCTAGCCTGCCTGCTGGAGACAGCCCAACCAAACAACATTCTATGCTTACACACACACACACACACAGAGCCTGTCTTTGGACATCTCTCTCTATCCTCAACCCAACACGAGAAAGTCCTCTGCCTTTCATAATGGAAGTACTTCTACCACAGAGAGGTAATCGTTTGCTAATTCAAGAAAATTTGCCCTCATTACTAAGGTCGGAATAGGAGTTGCTCAGCTCCTGTATTACATAAAACATAAGGCAAAAAACAAAACAACAACAACAAAAAAACCTTAATTCTTTTTAATCTTTTTAAAATGTTTTTATTTATTTCTGAGAGAAAGAGACAGCGTGAGGAGGGGACAGTCAGAGAGAAAGGAAGACACAGAATCCAAAGCAGGCTCCAGGTTCTGAGCTAGCTGTCAGCACAGAGCCCAACACGGGGCTCGAACCCACGAATTGTGAGATAATGACCTGAGCCGAAGTTGGACACTTAACTGACCAAGCCATCCAGGTGCCCCGTATGGCTAAAACATTTCCCCTGGGGCACCTGGGTTGCTCGGTAGGTTAAGCATTGACTCTTGATTTCAGCTCAGGTCACGATCTCATAGTTTATGGGATCAAGCCCTGCATTCGGCTCTGCGCTGATAGCATGGAGCCTGCTTGGGATTCTCTCTCCCTCTCAAAAATGAATAAATGTTTTAAAATAATAATAAAGCATTTCCTGAATACCGGCTGCCCCCCAATGGGCACAGGTCCAGGACTCCTTCAGGGCAAACTCAAACCCTGTGTCACAACATCCTATCTTCATTTGCAACATGCTCAGCTTTGTAATCATCACTTTCTTGTCATGTACGGTAATTTGTGTAAAGTTAGCCTTCTCTGGGCGATTGTAAGGTTCCTGTGTAGCTCTCGCGGGCCCTCTAAAAATACTTACTGCCTGCCTGAAATGCATTCCAGCTTATTTGTGGGCTCTCTAGGCATCAAGGACATCACCCTTTCAAGTCAAACTCAGAACCTGTCTTAGTTACAGAGGTAAGAGCAGGCTTTCTGTCACAAAGCTGCCGATGGCTTACCCCTCCTATATGGAGTCCTATCCAGTCCCTAGGTTTTCTCTAACAGTTATTCTCCCTTTTCCCACATAAGCTGCACCTAGTATTCCCTAAAGAAGCCGTAATCATGTCCGGGGTGGCCCCAATTCTGAAGGGGCCTACTTTCCCAAGGTCACAAGGCTTAGGGTCAGTTAGATTGGTCCTCCATCCTACAGGCAGAGAGAGGAAGGAAGGAAGGAAGGAAAGAAGGAAGGAAGGAAGGAAGGGAGAAAGGAAGGAAGGAAGGAAGAGAAGGAAAGGGAGAGAGAAAAAAGAGAAAAAAATGAAATAACCTATTACCTCTCCTGAAGTAATGCTCATCCTTCTTATAGAGATTTGATGTTCAGGGCGCCTGGCTGGCTCAGTTGGTAGAGCATGCAACTCTTGATGTTGGAGTCCTGAGTCCAAGCCCCACGTTACAGATACAGCTTACATTAAAAAAAAAAAGAATTTATTTTCTCTGGCAAACAGTATCACAGCTCAGAGAACAGGCTTCCAAACTCCCTCTGGGTATCTTCCTGCATGTGGGGGGAAAGGATTCAAGATTTCCCTGTTTGAGAGAGGGAGAGAGGCAAACCATAAGAAACTCTTAAATACACAGAACAAACTGAGGGTTGATGGGGGGTGGGGAAGAGGGAAAAGTGGGTGATGGGCCTTGAGGAGGGCAGTTGTTGGGATGAGCACTGGGTGTTGTATATAAGCCAATTTGACAATAAATTCTATTAAAATATATATATAATATAAACATATATATAATACATATATTTTTCCCTGTTTGTATCCCAGATAGGAAAAAAACAAAACATCATCACTGATACTTCCATCAGTGGAAGATCAAGGCAGCCAAAGAGTCAAGAAGATCAAACACAAGGACCACTTGAGATAGGCGAGGGTTGGTGCCAAGGCTGCCTAGAGAAAGTTGGGAGAATGAGGCTAATAATTACACCAGCAGGCCCAGGTACACTTCTGTGACCCTAAGGCAACACCAGACAACTCAGAAAGAGAAGCCTGCCTGCCTTTTTCACAAAAGAAACAACAGGCTAGAGATGGGTACATGGTAGAAATGTACGCTCTGAATTAGCCATTCATCTTACACCTACTTAGTCAAGGTTCTGAACTGAGTGCTCTCTCCAAGGATCTGAAGCAGGTATGCAGCTAGCAGACGTTTAAAAACACCTTTAGTTTAATGCATAAACCGCTAAAGACTATTCAGGGAAAATCTGCCTTCATTCCGGTGGGAATGACTAGACTGGAAAGCCTCCTGATAGGAAGAGGAGAAAAGCCCAAAAACCTAGACGAAAAATAATAGCTAAGCTCTACGTAGCACTTCCTATGTGCCAGGCAGTATTTTATGTACTTGACACATAATTATTCACATAATCCTCACAGGAACCCAGTGAAGGAAGCATGAGGCACACACACGACTACAAACGTCCAGGTTTATCATTAGTGCCACCACTTTATCAACTCTTAAAGTTCTGGGTGCACATCACAAATATAAGCCGTTCTGTTCCACCTACCTGGACAATACAGTAGCGTTAAAGTCATTTCCTCAAGAGTCAGAACTCAGTTCACCTCCCGACTCTATATTCTTAAAACTACCAATTTCTAGGGCCATGAGAATGAAATGAAATCTTATGTGAAAAGCATTCCACTAGGAAGTACGTAATTTCCATGAGGATAGATTTTGTCCCCTGCTGTGTCATCAGAGTTTAGAACACGACCTGGTACGTAGGTGATTGACTCCTTCCCCTTCTTGGCGTCAGCATGGGGAAGGGATGGGAGGAGGCACCTCTCAACCCACCCAGAATCCCTTTCGCTCTTGGTTGCCTTTAAGTGCAGGCCCGTTTTTTGCCTCCTCCAGGACTGCAAACGGTGCACCGCTCGGTCCAACGCTGCTTAGCAAAACCTGGCCATTCCAAAACGCCTTTCACCCCTGCTGCCGTCGGCTCACCTCAGCGTTCAGGGCCAGTCCCCAGGCTGCCTATTGCCCTCCGACAGGCAGCCTCCCACCACCGGATTCCTCCATCCTGGACCCTAACACAGATGTGAAGAAAGATGCACATCCCATAACGTCCCACCCCTCAGCGAGGCCTTATGATGCTGAGGACCGTAGGCGAGATGTCCCTGGGCAGCCCCAGGCTACTATTCGCGCCACGTGGCTTTGGCAGGTGGAAGCCCAGCTCCGGCAACAGCCCCTCCTGAGCAGTCAAGACAGAAATCCAGGCTCCCTCCCAGGATATGGGGTCTTAAGGAAGGTGTGGTAGGCGCCCTCCTCCCAAGACCCCTTACCTGGCCCCCAGAAGAATGAACTGAGACAAGTGCCAACAGATGCACCCTGCGTTGAAAGCCTGGCGAGTACTAACCTGCTGCCCAGGCCGGGGAACCGCCTCTCGTCCCGCCCCCGCCCGCTCCTTCCCGACCAATCGCAGGCGGGACAGCGCCCACCAGCCACGTGGGCAAGATTTAACCATTCTGCGGGTCTCCGTCAGCAGGCCGCCACCTCCAGTAGTTCAGGAGCAAGCCTGCGCAGTGGGCGGGCACTTTGGCGCGCTTGCGCACTTTAGGGAAAGCGGGGCTGAACCACGCTCAGTACGACTGCTTTGCTCCTCCGCTGTGCGTGCGAGGGACGTCGGGGGCGGTGCCGCAACAGTTGCCCCTGGTAACGGGGGAGGCAGGAGGAGGAGGAGGAGGAGGAGGGACTCAGCGGGAGGATGGTGAGTGTGGGGGCCCGGGCCCCTCCGGAGCTGGCCGGTCACCCCCCTCCCGTCCTCAGGCCCAGGGCGGGGCACTACGCGTAAAGCCGAGGAGGGAATGGGACGGTCTGGGTCCTGGATTGGTTTCGGGGGGCGGCGGGGAGCCCCGACAGTGGGCCATTGGAAGGAGACCTGGGCCTGGGGAGGAAGGCGAGGTTTGCAAGAGAGTCTGAAGCTAAGAGAAGGGGCTGGAAGTGTTTGTGGCCATCCCTGTACAGAGCCGAGGCTTCATCATTACTAAGGAGTGAGATGAGGGCGGATCCGTGTAACTGCGGAAAGCAGCCTCCGCATGCAGGCTTCGATCTTCCTAGGGATTCGACTTCCTTCCCCACGCCTGTGGAAAATGGGTCCGCCGGGGCCCAGCCAGAACCCGGGAGAAGGGCCAGCGCTATTGCCTTTGAGGTCGCCCTGGCGGTACCAGGAGAGATGGTAGCCTAGCTCTCCTCTTCCTCGAGATGTGCGGGCCTCGAGGGGTGGGGAGGTGTGTAAATCCCAGGACACAAAGAGACACTGCTTGGATGGATTTTACGCGGTCCTGGTGTCTGCATGGCGGGTGCATTTCTGCAGGAACGAGTTATTTATTTGCTGAAGGTTCTGTAAAGTCTGGTTGTTGGTGATGACCGATTTTCTTTTGAATTCTTAATCCATGTTGATGGAGGCAAATTTGCTGCCCGGTCCTTAGTATTTCATTTCAAACCTGTTGCAGCCTTTTGCGTGTGACCACACCAGAACCAAAGATATTAGTCTCATCTTGGGGTCTCCAAACTAAAAAGAATGAGAAATTAAAACTGGCGTGGCTGTCAATTGGCTTTTCTCTCTCAGACCTAATTAAAGCTTTCTCTAATCGTGAATTATGATGTGTGACAGATTTGACCATTGACACGCTCGCTGTTCCTTTTTTATTTCTGTGCAGTTATATGGAGGGTATTAAAATGGGACTGAGTAGTTTTAGAGCAAGTTAAGACAAAATTGACTTTGAAGCATTTAGAATAGGTTCATTGGCTTACCAACTGAACAGAGCCGGGCACTCAAACTTAAGAGTTACTTACCTTTTTGACTTTTAGAAATGTGGATCCATGTTCATTAATTTATGAAGAAGAAGCTAGATGTCTGCAAGAGAAAAAAAATGCATGCACCTTTGGTCACATTATTCAATTGAGTAAATTTTTATAGGAAAAAAATTGGTTTTACATTGTGAGATTGTTGAAGAAGTAGAATTATCTGATCTGAAGTTGCCAATCACGTTTCACACTTCCTACATTGCAGTTTTATTAACCCCAGGCTAAACAGATTTTTCATGTTTTCTTATTATTAGTCATTTATACATGAGCTGTCCATTTAAAGGCTAAATTTTTCTCAACAAATGAATACAAACATAAATATTTATGTAGAAAATAACTAGAATTGGAATGAAAAAGTCATGCCAAACCAACAGAGAATGAGATGTCATCATGAGAGCTGGCTAACCTTTCCCAGTTTGTTTATCAATTAAGTGGACTGTGCAATTTCATGATTGTTTAATTTATAATTACAGGGCACAATAAATTAAGCACTGCTCATGTTTCCAGGTGCAAATTGACACTGTATACAGCAAATTGACAGTGCTACAACACTATTGTATACAACTGTTGTGTTCATTGATCAAGACAGACTTTGTTTTTTTTCTCTTTTCCTAAAATGAACAATATGAAATTAGGGCAAATCATTCTGGATTCCAATCTCCAAAAGTGTGAGCTATTCTTAGAATTCTTAGAACTGAAAGTGGAACATAGAACTTAAACTATCGGTGGTGTGATTAAATGTGTCACATCTGGTATACCATGAATCCCTGTGATAACTGTACAACTGAAGACTGAGTCCCAAGTTTTTTTTGTTGTTGTTGTTTTCTAAACCTTCAACTATGACTAATACAATTTATTTGTATTTAAAAACCCAAATGTTTCCTCTGAACATTTAATCAGCCGTTTTATCTCCACCTTATGATATCAAATCTTTGGTGAAAAACTAAGATGACAGCAATTTTAGTGCATAAGTAATTACTAGTATTTAATAGATGACTTCTTCACACAGAAATTATTTATGGGGTACATTCTACATACATGAACCCAGTGGTAATTATCAAGCATTTTCAACATTTGAAGTTCATTCCCCAGATTGTGTTTACTGATCAGAAAATGGTCAGTGAAGGGGGGGGGGGGGAGGGAACGCCCACAACTACTGCTTTTAATACCTACTATGCTCCGTACTTCACATACATTACCAGTTCATCTTCATAGCATTTTTCTTAAGATAAAAGTATTGTTCCAGTTTTCTAAATGCCCAGGATTATATATATAAGGAAGTTGAATTCAAGTCTATGAAATCCCAAAGCCCTTAATACTGTTGTTGTTGTTTAGGTTTATATATTTTTAGTAATCTCTACCCACAGTGTGGGGCTTAAATTTAGGACCCCAAGATCAAGAATCACATGCTTTACTGACTGAGCAGCCAGGTGCCCCCCCCTCATGCATAAAGTTCTTATTGGAACTCTGGTGAGGTGGAAACCCACTGCCCCTGAGGATATGCCCATATTTTTTTTTTCATAATTTATTTATTTATTTTTTTAACAAATAGTTTATTGTCAAGTTGGTTTCCATATAACACCCAGTGCTCATCCCCACAAGTGCCCCTCTCCGTGCCCATCGCCCCCCCCCCCCCCCCTCAGTCTTCAGTTTTTGTCAGCATTCAAGAGTCTCTCATGGTTTGCCTCTCCCCCTTTCCCCCACTGTTTCCCCCCTTCTTCTCCCCCATGGTCCTCCGTTAAGTTCCTCCTAATCCTCCTATATGTGCAAACATATGATATTTGTCCTTCTGTGCCTGACTTATTTTGCTCAGCATAACACCCTCAAGGTCCATCCATGTTGCTACACATGGCCAGATTTCATTGTTTCTCATTGCCATGTAGTGTTCCATGGTATAGATAAACCACATCTTCTTGATCCATTCATCAGTTGATGGACACTTAGGCTCTTTCCATGTTTTGGCTATTGTTAAGAGTGCTGCTATGAACATTGGGGTACATGTGCTCCTATGCCTCAGCATCTCTATATCCCTTGGGTAAATTCCTAGTGGTGCTATTGCTGGATATGCCCATATTTTTATTTCTCACGAAACATTATATTTATTTAGTAGAGAGATGAGGAGAAAGAAGACAAATTTGGGTGAGGCTCTCCCTATCAAAGCTATATAAAGGTATCAAAGTTAATAAGGTCTCACTGAACAGCATATTTTTTTTTGTTAAAGAGGTAAAAATAAATTGAAGTCAGTTCCATTCAAGCTAGTTGGGGGGAGGGGGCACAGGGTGCTGGATTGAGCAACCCACTTCGACTCAGGTCATGATCTTGTAGTTCGTGGGTTTGAGCCCCGCATCGGGCTCTTCTGCTATCCATGCAGAGCCAGCTTCAAATCCTCTGTCCGCCCGCTTCTGCCCCTCCCCTGCTTATGCTCTATCTCAAAAATAAACATAAAAAAAAAAAAGCTAGTTGTGGGGAATTTGTACCTGACAGTTGGCTTACTAATTTTAATATTTAAATTTTAACTGCTCCTCACAGCCACATACACTTTCCATCACACTACCATCACACTACCATCACACTCCTCTCCCCCCCTCCACCACTCCAGTTTCTCTGAATGACCTAGTTTGTATCATTTTAGGTCAGTGCACCATGCCTCCGCCAGTACTGGAGTTGAAGCTGATTTTGTGGCAGATAAAATATCTGTAGTCAATAGCACATCTATTCATAATTTGTCTGTAGAAAGTTTAAATATTTTGTGGCTGAGTCAGACCACTTCTGTCCACCAGGGTGCAGATAACTTATATCGACACATGCTGATTACAGACTTTATACAATTAACTAAAGTTCTGATTTCTTAAATTGCCTTTATTCAATGTCAGAAGAGTACATACACTACATGGAGAGCATGTCTGGTTTGCTCACCGTTGCACTTGGGGCACATGGTCGGTATTTAATGTGAATGAAGAAATGAATGAATATTTTAACCAAAAAATGCACTTTAAAAATTCAGTTCCTTATGTTTATATGCAAAACTTAGGCCCATAATAAAATTAACTTCTGATAGTTGTCTCCCTTCATTTGACATTTAAAATAAAGTACAGACACTTAGGTTTAGAAAGCTAGAGTGGACGTATTCATCTCTCTTTCCTCCAGCCTCTTAAATCAGCTTACTTTGTACCTTTCAGGCAGAACTCTGATATCTATAAATATCCTCTTCCCTATTTAGCAAACCCTGATAATCCTGTGATCCCCTGTCCTCAGTAGTTGGGTTAATATGATGCTGTATTGTATTTGCATTTGTCTTCCCTAGACCATGCTTCACGTGCCATCTATCACTTTGATAGAAGAAAACAGTAGCTGAATTTTCCATTTCTCTGTAATTTCACTTAAAGGTAAAGCATGTGAAGTTATTTTTTCTCAAGGAAAATTACTCATTAGAAATGTAGACGTATCCTTTTTTATACATTAATTTAACGAAGCTTAGGTATAGTTAGAATGGTTTTCTCTTCTTTGCTTTGCTTCTTCCCTTTTAAAATGAAATTATTTTCTCTTTTCAGTTTCAAATAGAGTTAGTATGTAACAAGTCTCAGCCTGCCAAAAGCAGTATTTTTTTAGAAAGCAGTGTTTTTATTTACTGGCTTGTTTTAAAAGAAGAGACACATGAGAAAAAAACCTAAAACATTCATTTTGAACCTTGAAAACAGTTTATAGAAATATCATTCATAATTTCTACCCTCATAGATAATGCATGAGAAGAATTTTACCTATACTGTTGTTTCGTATACTGACGTGATAAATTCTGGTTATTTTAGAATTTTATTGGAAGAGGTAATGAGGACATCTAATCAAGAACTCAGGATGAGTAGTACAATGTGTTTTCCCTGTTCTAGGCTTTTTATATTACCAGTCCCCTGAGGATCTCAGAATTCTAATTTTAACTGTTCTGAAAGGTGGTATTATAAATGAGTGATTGCAATGTAGCTAATAGAAGCCAGGGAGACTTCTCATAAATATAGTTTAAAAAAGGAATGGTGTCAAAGTATTCAAGGCCAGATAAGATAAAAACAAAAGAAAAATGCCATGCCCTTTAAAAAAAAAAAAGTCCTGCCTATCTGTTTGAAATCTGTTCAATCACTCTTTCCTAAATCTTTTGGTGTAGATTTTGTTTTTCTGTTTTAAACTAAATCTTCCATTTTATTGCTGGAAAAAAAATTGAGGCACAGAGAGGTTAATGTAATCCTTAAAAGTCAATAAAAATACAGAATACTGGAGGTGGTAAACAACAAGTCTCTGAGGCAGAAAGGAATTCTTAATAATTATGCATATTTGCATATCATTGTGCAAAGACTCAATTGTTGAGAATTATTTCACAGAATTATTATTTGATCTTAGTGAAAAGACTGGCTTGAATTACTGCCTGGTACAATAGGGATAAAAAAATATATAACCATTTTATATAATTCTAAGACTCAGCTTGAAGGAATTTCTGCTTGGGCTGGGAGATTAGATTATATGCCCTTTAAACTCCGGAATTCTTTGATTCCTGTTGTAACTCATACCTCATTGGAACAAGATTGTCAGCTGCAGGACAGAACAAATAACCATCTTACAAGATTCTTCTTAGGCTTATAGCTAAAAACCAGTATGACTTATTTCCAGCCATTAACAAAATAATAAAAACAAGAAACAAATATCAGATTACTAGTGAAAAAAATACTCTGGTTAAATTTTGAGGCTCCTGGGTGGCTCAGTCCGTTAAGCCTCAGACTTCAGCTCAGGTCATGATCTCATGGTTCGTGGGTTCGAGCCTCACGTCAGGCTCTGTGCTGACAGCTCAGAGCCTGGAGCCTGTTTCAGATTCTGTATCTCCCTCTTTCTCTAACTCTCCCCTGCTCACGCTGTGTCTCTCTCTCTCTCTCTCTCAGAAAAAAAAAATACTCTGGTTAAGTTTTGACTTTTTTTATTCATGACTGACTTTGACAATTTTCTAATTTCTCTGTTGTATCAGATTTTTCATCTGAAAAACATAATTTATACCATGCACCTATCTTATAGGGGTCTTGTGAAAATTAGATAATAGAGACTGTGTTTTTTTAGATGATGATTTTTTTTATGGTAGAGTATTTTGAATGATGAAGTCTTAAATGTAAACTGAAATGAAGTTTTAAACAGAGCTCAGATACAATTTTATACAACTTTGTTTTTGTTTTTTTCATATAGCACCTTAAAATCTTTAACTTACTGGGTGGATAATTGTATTTAACTCAACAACTATTATCTAGTGTCTATCTAACAAGTGCCAGGCATTTTGGGAGACTGAAGCTATAGTCCTTACCTGCAAGAAACTTCACTCTAGTAAAGGAGAAAAATACAAAAATCAATGCACTGTAGTCTGATATGATATGTGCTCTACTAAGTGTACAGGATGGGCTTTAGGAGTATGAGATGAGTAGTAGTTCATGCTCCCAGAAGATTTGGGGGGACTGCTAAACTGGATTAATAGGAGGAGCAGGATTAAGCCATGGTATTTATTAAGTTGCCGAATTTACTGAAGTACTTCTGCCAAAACTTAGAAGGAGGAGGCAAATGGAATAAATGACTTTCAACTGGAAAATAATACTATGAGCTCTCCACAACCAAGAACTTTTTTCAAGGAGAAGATATTCTGATATCCAGTAATATCAAAGCCAGTGCCCCAAAAGTAATCTGTTTTCTTCATGGTTGTTTAAGGGCTTGCTCTCAATTTTACGCAAATTGAAAAGTGCACCAGACCAGGAGGTGAGAATCCTTCTCCTGGGCTTGGATAATGCTGGCAAGACCACTCTCCTGAAGCAGCTCGCATCTGAGGACATCAGCCACATTACGCCTACACAGGTGAGCATTGCCCCGGCCCCAGGTGCTCGTGTGACAAAAGGAGGGTGATCATAGCAATGTGGAAGACAAAATGCAAAATACAATTTTGTCCACCCCCAAGTTTTGTTACTGAAGAAAAGTCTATACAATTTAAAAGTAATCTAATATTTCAAAAATCTGTCAAGAGATTCCATAGATATGAGGTACTTAGAGTAGTTAAAATCATAAAGACAGAAAGTCGGATAGTGGTTACCAGAGGCTGGAGACAGGGAAGAATGGAGGAGTCATTGCTTAATGGGCACAGAGAGTCAGTGTTGCAAGGTGAAAAAGGTTCTGTGAATGGCTGATGGTGATGGTGTAAAGGTACTTAGTGCCACTGAACTGTACAGTTAAAAAGGGTCAGGGGGTGGGGCGCCTGGGTGGCTCAGTTGGTTAAGCGTCCGACTTCAGCTCAGGTCATGATCTCACAGTTTGTGAGTTGAAGTCCCGTGTCAGGCTCTGTGCTGACACCTCAGAGCCTGGAGCCTGCTTCCGATTCTGTATCTCCCTCTCTCTCTGCCCCTCCCCTGCTCGTGCTCTGTCTTTGTGTCTCAAAAAATAAATAATAAAACTTTTTTTTAAATGGTTAGGGGTGCCTAGGTGCTCGGTTGGCTAAGCATCCGACTTCAGCTCAGGTCATGATCTCACAGTTCTTTCATTTGAGCCCACATCAGATTCTGTGCTGACAGCTCAGAGCCTGGAGACTGCTTCACATTCACATTTTCCCTCTCTCTGTTCCTCCCCCATTCACGCTTGCTCTCTTGCTCTCTCTCTCTCTCTGTCTCAAAAATAAATAAATATTAAAAAAATTTTTTTAATGAAAATGGTTAAAATGAGGGACACCTGGGTGGCTCAGTCGGTTAAGTATCCAACTTCAGCTCATGTCATGATCTCCTGGTTTGTGGGTTTGAGCCTAGTGTCAGGCTCTGTACTAACAGCCTGGACCCTTCCTTGGAATTTGTGTTTCCATCTCTCTCTGCCCCTGTCCTGCTCACACTCTGTCTCTGTCTCTGTCTCTCTCTCTCAAAAATAAAGAAATATTAAAAAAAATTAATGATTAAAATGATAAATTTTATATTTTACCATATTTTAAATAAATCATTCAAATAAGCATAAATATATCAAGATACAATTTCTCAGCTCTAAGTGATTACTTTTATTTATTTAATGTTTTTTAATGTTTATTTTTTGAGAGAGAGACAGGACACAAGTAGGGGAGGAGCAGAGAGAGAGGGAGACAGAGAACCTGAAGCAGGCTCCAGGCTCCAGCTGCGAGCACAGAGCCTGACGCAGGGCTCAAACTCAGGAGCCATGAGATCAAGACCTGAGCCGAAGTTGGATGCTTAACTGAACAAGCAACCCAGGTGATTACTTTTTAAAAAAATAGCTTAATCTTCTGATTATGAAATTAATACATGTAGAAAATACAGAAAGTATAAAAGATAATAAAAAAACAAAAAGTAATGTGAGAAAAACTACCGTAAATATTTTAGTGTGTATTTTTCAAGCTTAATAAACTACAAATATATATATATCATTTTTTAAATTAAAAATTACCTGGGGACGCCTGGTAATTTGGTTGGTTAAGTATTCGACTTCAGCCTAGGTCACGATCTTGCCAGTCCTGGGTTCAAGCCCCATGTCCGTCTCAGAGCCTGGAGCCTATTTGGGATCCTGTGTCTCCCTCTTTCTTTCTGCTCCTCCTGCATTCACACTCTGTCTGTCTCTCTCAAAAATAAACATTAAAAAGAAATGTTTTTTAAGTTACCTGTATTTGTTTAATCCAGCCTATTTCCTAAGGCTAAGCAAGCTAAATCTAACGGTGGTGCTGCCAGTGTAGAAGTTAAAAGACAAACGCTGAGTGGAACAACACTCTTTCTTTAGACCTCCTTCCCCGCTGGAAATCCCCAGAAAGCTTGACCTTTGGCCAACTCATTGGGTTTCCTAACTAGAGGACAACCCTGTTGGTCTTAGGCAGTTTAAAAGTGCATGAGCATTAGAGGTTTTAGCAAAACCAGAGGTTTGTTTTTTTTTTAGCATTTTCCATCACCGTACTGTGATATGCGTTTGGTGTCAGGTTTGAGTGGCTATGCCACTGTGTACTTCACAGCTTGGGGGTCTTACTGATCTGCAACTTTTTGCAGAAAAGTCATTTCAATTGCTACCAAATGAGCAATTTTACAGCTTCTGAACAAATTTAATGTATAGCCTAAGGAGGAGCAAATTACAGTAGTCTAGCCTAGAAAGGCTGAAAACACATATTAGTGTGTCAGGATTTCTGCCAGAAAAAGAAAAGTCTAGGGTTTTTTTTCTTTTTAATTGAGTATTAGCAGTAGGCTATATCTCCTAAGAGTAGCACTAAAATGAGGATGTCTACACTGTGAACATGGAAATGAACTCTTAAGTTATGGACTCAAAGTTCCAGTTCTACTTTCAGGCTTTATTTGATGTGTTATAGGTGACTTTGTTATTATATGATGTCAAGGTTGCATATTTATTCTTTAAAAGCAAGCTTTCATTGTGTTTTTGTTTAATATCAGAAAAAGCAATAGCTGCTCATTATAGTAAATTTATAAACTATAAATAAGTAAAATTGTGAAATAAGAAATCACCTATAATGCCCAAACATAACCACTGTTAACATTTAGGACTGTATCCATTCAGGGATTTTTTTCTATGCATGTATATGATAGGTATATTTAAAAATTTTATATTGGGGGCACCTGGGTGGCTCACTTGGTTAAGTGTCAGATTTTAGGTCAGGTCATTGTCTCATGGTTTGTGAGTCGAGCCCCCCATTGGGCTCCCTGCTGTCAGCTTTGGATCGTCTGTTTCCCTCTCTCTCTCTGTCCCTCCTGTGCTTGCATGTGTGTACACATACATACACACACTCTCTCTCCAAAATAAACATCAAAGGATGTGTATAAAAAATAAAGATTTGGGTCGCCCTGGATGGCTCAGTCGGTTGAGCGTCTGACTTCAGCTCAGGTCATGATCTCATGGTCCGTGGGTTCGAGCCCCGCATCCGGCTTTGTGCTGACAGCTAGCTCAGAGCCTGGAGCCTGTTTCAGATCTGTATCTCCCTCTCTCTCTGATCCTCCCCACTCATGTTCTGTCTCTCTCTGTCTCAAAAATAAATGAACTATAAAAAAAAAAAGAAGCTTCTAGGGGACAAAAAAATTAATAATAAAGATTTTATTTTTAAGTAATCTCTAAACCCAACATGGGGCTCGAACGTACAACTCTGAGATCAAGAGTTCTACGCTGTATGGACTGAGCCAGCCAGGCCCCCTATGATGTATATTTAAAACAAAAGATATGGTGCCTGGCTGGCTCAGTCAGTAGAGTATACGACTCTTGATTTCAAGGTTGCAGGTTCGAGCCCCATGTTGGGTATAAAGATCACTTAAGAATAAAATCTTGGGGCACCTGGGTAGTTCAGTCGGTTAAGCATCTGATTTTGACTCCAGTCATGATCTTGCAGCTGGTGAGTTCGAGCCCCACATCAGGCTCTGGGCTGGTAATGTGGAGCCTGCTTGGGATTCTCTCTCTCCATCTCAAAATAAATAAACTTTAAAAAATAAAAATAAATAAAATAAATTATTAAAATAAAAAATAAAAATGATTCCTAGAGAATATACTATGACATCATTTTCACTGAATAATGCATTTTGAACATCTTTCTACATTTATATATATATATGTAAATACTTATGTAATACCCAACTCTATTTTTTTTTAAGATTTTTTTTCATGTTTTTTTTTTTTAATTTATTTCTGAGAGAGAGGGAAACACAGAATCTGAAACAGGCTCCAGGTTCTGAGCTAGCTGTCAAAACAGAGCCCGATGCGGGGCTCGAACCCACAAACCATGAGATCATGACCTGAGCCGAAGTCAAACGCTCAACTGACTGAGCCACCCAGGTGCCCCTGTAATACCCAACTCTAAATGTACCCATTCATTATTATTTCCTTAGAATAATTTCTTGGTAGACTTGTTGGGTCTGACGACTTACAAAAATATTTTTCTTTTGATAACTTACAGAATTTTAAGGTAGTTGATACATACGGTCAAATTCCAGAAGTTTCTCTTATTTATTGCCTGCTTCATTCCAGAAAGATTTGACGTTACTGGCTTTGACATTTACTATTGTAGTTAAGTGTAGGATTTTCAAGCACACAAAAGTGGTTTTATCAGTGAGTCAGAATGAAGCTGCCTTTTACAATAAGCTTAAGCCACTTCCCTTTAGAGTTCTTAAACTTTTAATTTATTCAATCGTTGGCTTCTTATAGGAGCTGTAGTCAGCGTCATCCCCAGGTATCCTCTAGTGACTATTTACCCTCAGTGGAAACTGGGTGGCAGTGTTCCTGTGCTGTCACGCTGTGCCTTGTCCTTCTGTGCTAGGCAGTAGTGTTGGCAAGCTGCCAGATGAGGCAAATGTTTATGGAGGCATCCCCAGGCCCTCTTCACTCCAGTTATTCTGGATAAAATGTCACTTCTGTGGTAGCAAGCTGTTGATTGAATTTTTCAAGTCCTGATTTCACTATATCATTCTCAGAAAAAGATTTATTTTTTAATTATTGCTCATGAAATGCCTTCTCTCCGAACCCCAAAGGTCTTGTTAATTTGTTTCTGTGCACACTAACTCCCAGCTCACAGTTCCACCTGCCTCTGATCTACTCACCTTCCTCGAAGTTCTACCTTGAGTCACTGTCCTGAAAATGAATGCTTTCTTTCAAGTTCATCAGAGATGCTTATTAAAGAATAGTTTCAGTCTACGGCCATACCACCCTGAACGCGCCCGATCTCGTCTGATCTCGGAAGAATAGTTTCAAATGCCTGCTTGTTTATTTTCATCCCTGCCTGTAACTGAGGGCTCCACTTCAGAGTCTGAACATGCTGTTCTCGCAGGCCATCCTTTCCTTGCTGGGCTAATACTCCAGTTACAAGCCAGCTTCTCCCGTAGTGTTTTGACTTCAGTTCCTTCCTTTTTCTGATTAATCCATATGAGGAAATTTTTAAAAGAATCCTGAATTCCAGATTGTAGCTCTTGCTTTTTAAAAAAAAATTTTTTTTAACATTCATTTTTGAGAGACAGAGTGTGAGTGGGAAAGGGGCAGAGAGAGCAGGAGACACAGAATTTGAAGCAGGCTCCAGGCTCCCAGCTGTCAACTCAGAGCCCGACGTGGGCCTCGAACTCATGGACCGCGAGATCATGACCTGAGCTGAAGTCAGTCGCTCAACTGACTGAGCCATCCAAGTGCTCCAACTCTTGCCTTTTTTAAAACTTAACAATCTGTTCCATTCTGTTGAATCTTCAGATTCAGCTTCTGGTTTTTTTTTTTGGTAGTTAAATGTAAATGTTCTGCTAAATGGTACCATCTTGAGGATCCATCAGGAGGTGGGGTCTGGGTTGATTATCAGAGCTATTCTCATTCCAAAGTGTCCTCAGCAGGTGTGTGTGTTGTACGTGTGTGTACATGTATATACACTTATTAGAGAAAGTGCCACGTTAGCCATGACATTAATACTGACTCCAAACCTGAATGAAGTAAACATGTAAAAACACTTTCTTTCTTCCTTATTGTAGCAGACTATTTTCAGTATTACCAGTATCGTATCTGGCAGAGTACCTCATAATTAATAAAAAACATAGCTGTTAAATGTAACTGTTGGAATTATGATCTCAAAGCTTAATAAAGCTTGGTGTTTCTTCTGTTTCAGGGTTTTAACATCAAAAGTGTACAATCACAAGGTTTTAAACTGAATGTATGGGACATTGGTGGACAGCGAAAAATCAGACCATACTGGAGGAATTATTTTGAAAATACTGATATTCTTGTAAGTACTCCTTCGGAGGCATTAATTCATAGTCTTTTCTGCAGTATGTTAGGAATATTAACACTCTAATGTTCTTTCTTCTTAGTCCTTCCATTGCCGTAACATTAGTCACTATGCATTTAGGACTAGCCGGAGGCTGCAAATTATGAGAAACATCTTTTTTGTTGTTGTTTTGTTTTTATGTTTGTTTATTTTTAAGAGAGAGAGACAGAGCATGAGCAGGGGAGGAGCAGAGCGATAGGGAGACAGAATTTGAAGCAGGCTCTAGGCTCTGAGCTGTCAGCACAGAGCCTGATGCTGGGCTCAAACTCACAGTCTGCAAGATCATGACCTGAGCAGAAGTCGGACGCTCAACTGACTGAGCCACCCAGGCGCCCTGTATAACTTGTATAAGAGTTTTGCTCTTGCTCAGCAACAACATTGTGCCCACATTCACCTTGGCAAAATATTTATTAATCATCATAGTGATTTGAAAAGCAGAGGGAAATCAGAAGATCGTGCCACTGACTCCATCATCCCAAAGAGGCAACCAAGATGGTGGAAGTCCTGGAAATAATGATGCATAAGGAATGGTTGAAAAGACAGATGTTCTTCTTAAAAAAGAAACTTGGAACTGTTTTTTTGGTTGCTTTAAGAGCTATCAAGTCAGAAAGATTACCTTCATCATGAATAGTTCTAGAGGACTGAGGGAGAAGCAATTTGGTGTTAGGTGGTAGAGTTTAACTCAGAACAAGGAAAAAGTCTATCATTTTAACTGTCCAGAAGTAGAAGCAGTTGCCTCATGCATTAGGAA